GAGTGACGCAACTACTAGATGCTCTGTAAAATGAAATCGGTCCTTTGCACAATTTATAATGTCCTCACACACTTCTAAAGCAGAAATCCATGGACGATGGCGCTTATTTTCTGGTGGCTCGTAGCTAATGATATTCGAGGCTTCGCTAATGATGTTATCAATATTGTTTTGTACTTGAATGATATTGCTTTCAAAATTATCGATAGCGTCTTTGACGCGAGTGGGGTCGATGTTTCTTTGCTGCAATTCATTATAGAGGATGTCAACGTGGGGCATCACATGATGGAAAAAAGTCAACCAAAAATTGAATATCGGGTCATTTAATGTACGACGAATAGAGGCGGCTGCACTGCAAACTGTGCTGTTGGTGAATTGCTCTTCTATTTCATCCATACAGTCAATGAGAGCGTTTCTATTTTCGTACACCACATTAATGGTCCATATATTAAAGTTCCATTGGGTCGTAGCGCAGGGAGAAATTCCGTTCACAATCCTGTTCAATACTTCTATTCGCTGGGGTGAATTATTGAAAAACACAGGAATATCCTGCAAATTTCCGAAAAATACGCGCACCTGCCTATTTGTGGAAGCAGCTTTGGAAATAACCAAATTCAGCGGATGGGCATAACAATGAACATAGTGAGCGCAGGGGTACTGTTTTTTAATTAATGCTTGGACTCCTGCATGTTGGCCGCTCATCACCGATGCACCATCATAACTTTGTGAAATCAGTTTGTTGGGTGAATTTTGCACTAAAGGATCCAGAACGGATAAAATTGTGTTACTAAGTGTGTCCGGATCACCTCGTTCAGGAACTAGGTAGTTCCAAAAGCGTTCAACTGGCTCACCATCGCGAACGTATCTCAAAATAACTGCCATCTGAGATTTTGCCGCAACATCCGTGGTTTCGTCCGCCATGATCGCCAAAAATGAAGAATTATTAATTTCGTCAATTATTTGCTCGTGGCAAACTTCGAGCATACACTGTAGCAAATCGTTCTGTATTTCTTTGGAGGTGCCTTTAAATACCGAAGAATTCTTCAAATGCTCGCTGAGAGTGGCATCTAGTTCAGCCGAAAAATGTATAAGGCCACGAAATATCTCCGGATTCTCCGAAGTTTCGCTCTCAACATCATCATGCCCCCGAAGAGCCAATTCAAAAGCTCCACAAAATTTTATGCAATTGATAATTTTTGATAAAATGTACCGATTCTTTGACACACTTTCATTATGTTTCTGCACCTCTATCCAATAACCAGAATCTAGTTGAGCGATGATATTAGTTGAACCGAGTAAAGCAAATTCCAAGCAATTATGAAGATGGCTTTTAGAGTTTTCGTGTCGTTTTATCTTCATACTCAAGTGCTCTAGATCGGTGACCCCCACTCGCGTCCAAGCTTTATCGCCACCAAAAAGTAAACAGGGAAAACAGTATAAAGCGTTCTGTTTGTTGCAACCACAAATCCAGTCATTTTTCGAATAAATGTCTCGATTGAACTTACGTGTATAACTTTTGCCTCTACTTAAACCAGATTTTTCTATTACAATGTCTGGTAATGGTCTACCTTTTTCTTTCAGTTCTACCTTTTCTTCCTCCAAATATTTGAAAAATCGCTTCACGTTAATTAAATTGAAGACCACGTCCATAGTTCGCAGTTAGCAATTGTAAAAGTTATTAATATGACGAGAGGTGTTTGTTTTGGCTTGCATAAATAACGTTAATTGTTTCTACTGACGTTAATTTAAACTACTAGAACCAAGGATTGTCTTGTGGGATAAATTGGTAGATTTCCTGGAATTGTTACGGGACTGCAATGGAAATAGGAGCAGCTCACCTGTTGCCTTTGTAGTTACTGCTCACTTTTTTCTCCAGTTCGACTGGAGGAAATAATGTTACAGGATTCTAGTAGAATAACCACTTTTACTCATTGGAAAAAACTATCGTTCTTTCTATGTTTTTATTAATCACAAAATAGCGTGAAATTCAACTTTGTTTTCATGCGAGTTACAAATTGCTGTCACTCAGTCGTGTTTTCGTACTCTTCTTCTTTTGCTCTGGTTTTATGTCACGCTAGTGGCAACTTTGCACGTTGCCAAGCGTTCTTTTATTACGCTAGAACATATAATTTATGATATGACTGGCGCCAAGGTCCTCCTCAATGTGGATATACAGGGTGTTCCTTAATGACATGCCAATATTTACGGACTCAATTTTTGCATGAATTTTAGGAAGAAAACTTCATATGAAGGTATTCAGGTAATGTTAATTGGTCAGATTACCTTGAAAAACATTTGCTGCCATCCTTCTCATCTAGTTTTAAATAACAATTAATTTTTTACTGGACTCCTAAAACACTTCCAGAGGAATGACGCCAATTCTGAATCACCCTGTATTATTGAACAATCAATTCAAAATTTCTCTTTTATATTAAAATATACAGGGTGTTTCATAAAATAAAAGGTTTAGGTCCGATAACTTTTTAACCTGACCCCGTATCCTTATTCTCAAAACGGCCCGTTATTTAACGTTCATTATACCGATACTTTTGCATAAAACATTTTTCTGTACCTCTTTTACCTTGGAAAATATAGTCAATTTGAAATTGAAAATTTTGTTGATTTTCTTCTGTATCTGTTAAGCGAACAAAAACTTTTAAATTTTTATTTTATAATTTTCAACACATTTTATAACACATCAAGCAAGAAATGATGCGCAAAAAATGCAAGGAATATTTTGATATTTCATCATAGAATCACTTATTTTATTTGATATTTGTATCAAAGGGATTACTTTTTCTGCCCGAGCGATACACAATTAACGATTGCGAGTTTCTAGATGCCCTGTATATTCAGTTCGCACAAAATAATTATTTAAATTATACGGTTCCGCAATGAAATACCTATCGTGCGGATAAAACAATACACTTCAACTATTTCAACAGTATTTATTGCTCATGCAACTGATTAACGTGGGATAATTTTTTTTCTGTATTCTTGATGGAACAAACGACAGAAAAATCTGTTGCCTCTTAAACATGTATTAACATTAAAAATAATAGGCGACTTTATTCATAGGCCCCTATATGTCCTCTCTCAGGTCTAGTTTTATTATTATTATTATTCGCCAGTCGCTCGAACAATTATGGCTTTCACAATGTATAATTACAGCTTATTAGTTTTTGCGTTGGTTTAGCCTTGATGATTCACTCTAACTGTGCTTTAGTTACTCAAACTTTGGATTTGGTGAACATGTATTTATTTAGAAGCCGTTTTTGGCAATTTTATCGGGCTGAGATTAGGAGGCGAAAAACGGAATTTTTAATGCCCACAAGATTAAATCAGACCTTTGGATTAGTTTAAGTAGGTAATACCTCAAGAGGCTGTCGACGTTTCCTTGTTGAGTTAGAAATAACATTCGTAACACTCATACATACATACACACGATGTTGAAACAATGTACGCTATCAATTTTTGTTGTTATCTAGCATTGAACGAACATGCTAATATTACGGGACTTTGGAAAATGTTATAGGTATTAAATGGAAATGAGTTATGCAAAATCACCACAAGTTGGAATTGGATAAATACAAATAACAAGTGGTTTTACACTGGAAGGTGTCCAAATTAAATTACGAGGTTTTTCGTTCTCAAACGCCACCCCAGGAATGCAAATAGCCAACTGTTTCACATTGGCCAGCAGGAGGTCCCGATCGATCACCCATCGATCACGATCGGGACTACATTAATCCTTCAAGCTCCTACAAGATTATTACGCAAGAAAATGGGATTACTAAAATGTTTGGGAGTTTTTTGATCAGAAAATGCACATATTTCAAGTTTGCGTAACTGCATTCGGGAACTGGAAAAGTTTCGCGAGACTGGAATATGAGCAGGTAAATATTATACATCTTATAGTAAATAGACGACGATAAACCGTGAAAATAATAACGGTTATTAGAGTGTAACAATTTCGTTCTACCTAATAAGCTGTGAAGGTAAAAAACCGCTAGACTTGGTAATTGCTTGAGGATTGATGTTTTCCTTTTAGCTGAAACACAATTGGAATTATCCTGATCTTGATATGAGTCTAGCCTGAAATTCAACTTCAAGTTAACACCGTTGTATGTACAAATGCATGATTAAACTATTAGGTCACAGTTAATTCAAGACTAAAGTGGGAAATTTTGTGCTTATTGGTCGTAGGCATAAATCAGGCGAATTGGTGTGATTGGAAAATTGCAAGTTGTGGAGCGAATTTTCCAGCATTTCAAGCTTTTCGTTTAAATTGGCTTAAACTTAAAATGCACATTTACGACCGAATTAGTACCCTATTAGTACTGAACAAAAAGTGTACAGATACTTGGTCGAAGTTTCTCAGATTTGCCGTTTTTAAGATATCGGCTACCCAAAAAAAACGAGTGGCTGGCAGAGTCGGAAATACAAACCCCTGCTGGAAGGCCAATTTTCCAAGATAAAACCTAGCGTCCTTGTGTAAAATTGAAGTTTTCCTACGTGCTTTTCGGCACTTTTATGTTAGTTAGGTAGGTATGTACTGATTAATACATCTTTCGACACTGAATAAACGATACAGGTAAGCATACTGATAACGCATTAAAATAAACGTGAGTTAACAATATCGTTGATAGCGATCCTTTCAGACTATATATATACAGAGCAGGCAAAGGAATTTGACGAAATTTCTGAGCCTTGTCGCTACTTTTCCTGCCACCTAATCAAACCGAAATGAAATGCAGGAATTTCTTCCTGCTCGCGTATAAACGGTTTGTTCAGATTGCAATTACAAACCTAATTTAATTATTACAGCTTGCGTAATAACTGATTCAGCAATTGTACACCTTGAGAGCGAAATTGCAGCAGAAAACCGGAGCGAATAAAAAAACAGGACAAGACTTGGTACTTTTGAATTGCAACATTCGTGTCTATAGAAAATGGGAAGTCTGAACCAGAACCTACATTAATAGCTTAACAGTATTGCTTACCTGTTTGATGACAATTTCATAAGTTTATAACAAAGAACTAAACGCGGAAACACCTGTTGAATTTGCACGGAAATACAACGAAATCCACCTAAACGAGGCTGGTTTCGTTCTGTTCACTTTTGCGTTCAGCCTGCGGACACTGACAGTCCCAGTCAGAGCAGACACCAACCGGATTATTCGTGTGACGTGTTTCCAGCAAAATTATTCGTTTAAACATCGAAGCTTAGCCAAACAAATTCAAAAATCCCATATAAAACATGGGCTTTTATTGCAACATAAGAAAGCCCATTTAACTATGCATTAGTGCATAATATCAAGCAAACAGTTATGTGGATTCAGCGAACGTCAGCACTAATAAAGCTGCTCCCTCCCTAAACAGTAAAATCACTTACGTCCCATACAACCTAACCTCAGAATCAATGTGTCAAACTAGTAAACAGCAAGACAATGTTTATTTATCAAGCCAATTTGCCGTTTATATAATAAACAATGAACGAAGAAAGTTTAGCAGACTCCGATGACACAGTCATTGTTGATAAAGATGAACTGAATAAAATTCTGAAAAACTACTCAAACGAGGACCACAATGCCCACCCTTCAACATCCAAACGACCCGGGCTGAATATTTACTCTTTGGACGACTTTTCCGACGCAGAGAGCGTATGTGAGCCAGTAGAAAGCCGATATCAAGCAACCAGTACAGTGACTAGCACTAAACCCTCCTGGCAAATCAACTTCTCAGCTGCAGACTTCCTGGAAGACTCCGGCGATTCTGATGTTATTCTCACTCAGATCAGTCAGGCGGAGGCCACGCGCCAGCAGACCTTTAGCAAAGAACTTCAGTCGCTATTAACCACTGAAAAACCTATCAGAATTAGTGAGCATCGCTCAGACGTGGAACTTGAAGATGCAGCTGAATGCGATCTCAATGCTGAATTGGAAATGTGGAAGAATAATTTCAAAGCCAATACACTGTCCAGTGAGTCAAATTCCCAACCGAAAGTGACTCTGGATGAAGACAATGACGGTTAGTCCAGCCTCTTATAATAGCTAATGGTCATTTTAGGGTGTTGTGTTTATAGAAGCTCCTAAAACAAAGAGGGGCAGAAGACAAACGTCCGCGGAAAAAGAGGCCGAAAAGGCAAAAAAGCGCGAGCAAAAGGAAGTGGAGAAGGAAAATCGAAAGCAAGTGAAGAACGCCTTAAAAAACGTGAAGTATTTCACCCACCCTGAGCGGATTTTGGTACAGTGAAGCTTTCACCATTGGACACTGTGACTCAACACGTTATTAGTAATTCGCATTTCAGGACCTAACAGTTAACATTGACGAAGAAATATCGAACAAGTCGTACGGAAAAGTATTAGAAACCGGATTAACTTGTGGATACTACAAATTTGCAGTATCCAAACAAATAAGGCCAAATTTAATTTCCTGGACAAAAAATCCAGTGAATATTCGCAACTAAAGAGTTCAGAACTTGAGTTACTTACTACTTTTTCCAGACTGGCCAATCAAGCAACAGCCTGAACGAACCTGAAAAGCAGTACATGTTAATAATTGAAGTAGCCGAATTTATTGAGCATATTTCCAACAATACTCTAACGGCCCATATTCAGTCTTTACTGATCTTGCCGGAAATAGAGCACCTCACTATAGCAGTAATGGGGCTGCGAAGTTACTACAAATACCTAGACAGTCAAAGAAATAAGGATTTCAAGGTTTTAAAAACCATTTGCCTCTAATATATGCATAACTCATTTCGCTCGTAGAATGCAGTAGCAGACGCCCCAGACAGATCAACCAGACCTGCTGGGAATATACCGTTTAAGTATTTGCCGAAAATACCTAAAAAAGAAATCGACAAAAAGCTGGTTGAGCTGCAATTTTTCTGCAAATCTACTTATGTTCGCCTTTTGGAAATGATCGAAGACTTAGTGGGGTTTGTGATCGAATGCACAAAATCCGTGGCAAATAGGGCCGAAAGGTAAAAAAGGACTGTCCGCAATAATTGAATAAACAAGACAAACATTCATTTTCAGACTATCCAAATCGAACGCTTTGCAAGCCGAGAATGAATATTTTGCGGTAAATAACAGAGACTGCGTGCCCATAGATAAAGATGGCAATGGTTTATTCCGCTTGTGGAGCCAATGCCTAGTAATCTTTCCCTCGGCTAGTCTGGAAACAGCAGAAGCCATTACTTCTGTTTATCCGACATTACATTCATTAATTCAGGTAAGGGGTATTCATTAATAAAAAAAATCGAAGTTGCTTTAGAGCATGTAATTGCTTTCGTTCAAGAAGCTTTTACGTTAGAAAGTTATCCTGGTGGTTTTTAGGAATTTAGGCCTAAAACCCCGCAAAACTCAGTCGCGAAAATCTAACTCAGTTTACCTTAGTTTCTCTCTTAAAATATCCCCATGCGTTAGTAGAAAATTATTGGATTTTCCCGTTGTGAATTTGAAAAAACTCAGTAAAATTTTAGGCGTATAAATCCTGTGACGATGAGAAATCCCGGGAATTATTGCTGCAAAATATCTTAGTTAGGAGAAGAGCAGATCCACTAGATCGTCCCAGAAAACTGGGGCCTGAGCTTAGTAAGAAAGTGTATAAGGTATTTTTCTCCAAAGACAATGTTTCCATTAGCAATTAAAGCCATAGATATCCATCACATTTAATCAGAGGAATTATTAATAGAACATGCTAATTAGATGTAAATAAATCTATTAAATCTTATACCTAGGACAGTCTTTCAGCAAATTTAATTAATTTAAAAATTATCGTACAACCGAAAATCCCTTGAACCTTTCTGAGTAAGGATTCGTATGTTTCTGCGGCATATAAGACCATTCGGTTGAAAAATTTCACGCAAAGTCAAGTACCAACCTTATTTCCTCATGTACTGTGTAATTTTGTGTAAATGTTCTACAATAGCAGCCATCACAGCAGTAACAGACGAATCAATCAAATTTTGGATCTCATGCACAGCTTCCTCATCGCCTAAATCCAACATTAACTTATCCTGAACTTTCTTAACGGCTTTGTCCGGTTCCAAGGCTATATCTGGTACGCTAGCTTTTGTCATCAAGGAAAACAAGTTCAGCATTAGATTTGCGTGCCTGAAAATATCAGTTGCTTTAGAGAATACATGGACTGATTTAGTGTTAATTGGTTATCCACCTTCTTAGATGCAAAAACGCCGTATAGCAGAGTTTTTTGAACTCTTGATAATGCTCCGAGTTGATGCCACCCATTGCTTCAACCATTTCTTTACTTAGTTTCATTGGAGGTGGCAATGGCTTGGGATCTCTACCCAGAATGTACCTAAATTTAAAAATATATATAAATAAAAAAAATATATATTTATTAGAGGTAATTAATGGTCCTTACCCAAAATCTATATGAAACAACCGTCCATCTTGGGTAAGCAGCAGGTTGTCCAGATGTCGGTCTCCGACCCCTAATAAATATGTGATTACACAATATCCAGCACATGACCGTATATAGGCGTCCATTATGTCAGGTTGTATCCCATAAGGCGCGTTTTCTTGTGGGTGATTTTTCCTGAAGTAGTTCTGGATGCTGCCTAAAAAAACTTTTTGTTTAAGCATTTTCAATCAAAAGCTTTTATAACTATACCTTCGGAAGCCAGCACTTCAGCAACAGTGGTTGACTGAATAAACTGCACAAACCCATGCTTTGTACTCGTAGCCAATACTTTATAAGGTGTCAGCTTAAGATCCAGATTTTCCTTATTTAGTAGCTTATCCATTAGGGTGATCATCTGTAGAATCAGTTGATCCTGCCGCAGATCGTCTCCGAGTTTGAAAATAGCCACGTATTCTGTGCCTTCACTAGTTATGAAGTTGAGCCTGGCTGGCATTAAGGCCGACTTGAACAGCATGGCTTTTTCAGGAATAATACCCGTGATCATCACCTGAAATTACTTAGAAAATTAAAAAAATTAAATTATTTGAAGCGTGCGGTTTTACCTCTGGATCTAGAGGCAGCGGAATCGGGTCAAACTTGGAAAAATTATACTTGAACGCATCAGGATCGGCCAGTAAGTCTTTGAGTTTTTGAATTTTTGCAGATCTATACGCATTTTCTCTTGATACGGTTTTAATTAAGTGTACAAGTTTATCGATAAATTTCTGCTGCTTTGTTAAAGTTTCGCGCTTTTTCTGCATGGCTTCAGTGCCTTTCGCCAGCGTTTGCGAAAAGGTCTTCATCACTGCTACGTACATGTTGCGAACGTCCTCCTAAACAAAATATTTAGATCAGATGGGGTTTCAGAAAAAAAATTCTGTTTTTCTCTCGACCGTATAAGGTATCTATTTCTTACATCTTGCTTAACGGTGCCTTCCTGGTCTTCGCATTCAAGCAGCAAATACCAAAAGAAGTAATTGGCCAGAGTGAAATTTTTGCAAGCTCGGGAAATCAGAAAAGACGCCAAATCATTTATGTCTTCTTCTTCGTACATGTTGCTTCGAAGAGTGTCCGTGTTTCCTGATTCGGTGCAAACGTTTTTAACTATGGAGGGAACCACATGTTGGGTTGTCTAAAAAACATATTTTAAAAGAACATCGCAAGAAAAGCAAGTATAAAAAGTTACCGCTTGAACTGGCACAGTTTCTTCCTCAACAACACTGTTATCTACTGAAGAAGCTAACTCATCAGCATTATTATAACTGGACGATTTTTGTAATACTGTTTCAGTTGTAACAGTGCAGTTGCTGTCTTTGGAATCTTTCTTCTCCAGGCAATTGTTGGCGGTTTCTTCCGTTATAGAATACACGTCATATCCGGATGCCAGCCTCGCAAATCCTGAAACAAATCAGGAGTTTGCATTTCGATTGACTCATTTTTAAACATTGTACCTTCTTTAATGGTGGCAAAACTTTCATATTTCAATGCCTGTACAAGTTGCAGTAAATAGAGCAAAATTTCATTATCAGGAGCCTGCTGTAAGCGGCTTATCGCATATCTGCGAACGGCCGGATTTGTATAGTTGGGACTAAGAAGTTCCAAAGCGTCTGAAATGTTTCATTTGTAAATATTTTTCTATAACTGAGTTAGAGCCGCACCTTCAATGTCCATGGGAACCCACATATCAATAAGGTGCAATGCTTGGCGAACCTCATTCTGATGACGCCAATTAACGCACTTTAGGAACTTTGCTAATGCTTTCTTTTGCGTGCTTAGGTAGAATCTACAATAGGCTAATGAGCGACTGTTTGTATCCCACGCGTAATGAAATTTACCGGAATTTCCATACATGGTCCTGCTCTTCGCTGGACAGTTGCTGAGTTGGAGGATAAGAGACGATTTTATTTAAAATATCTCTTACTGCGGCATTGGGTTTTGCATCTTTATCATTGTGGCCACTTCGCACAGACCGGGCCAGCATGTGATGTTTGCGTTCCACTAAATTTTCCTGCGGACAAATTGGTTGTTAAAAATCTCCTGAACATTTTCTGAGCTGCAATTTTAGGTCGAGTAAACCAGGAAACCCTGAAAGATTCCCAACTTACATCTGGCCCCATAAATTGATCAATCTTCTCGCGTTGTAGACAATTGACCAGATCGAGTTCACTGACTAATTTCGACAGAATATCCGCCTGATGTTTAAGACTTTCGTTTTCCTTTTTAACCATACTTAAGGCAAATTTGGTGGGACTTGAGTTCGCACAGTCGCGACATTCCCAATTAGTTTCACTAACATCGAACAACATGCATGCTCGTTCCAGGCACTTTTTGTGAAGGTAACGATTACAATTCAGGCATTTCACTGCACTGGATTTCACTACATGTTCGCATAACTGGCACTGAATTGTTTTGTTAGTGGTGACTGATTTGGATTTTTGTGAAGTTAATTTCGTAGTCATTGCGGCCCATAAGTTGGAAGCTTTGGACATAATAATGGCAAGTTTTAGGGCTTACATTGGTTTTAAACAACTGGACGAATATTGGTGAAAATGGGCAAAGAAACAATTAAAACTGCCGACGTCCTTAAATTGCGAAAAATTCATGATGATTTCTACTGGCTTGGTCGCGCATTAATTCACATAATTCTAGCCTACAACTGTAATAACTTCACATTCACTATACGCATATGGTTCATTATCTCGCCAATAAACTCCACAATCCCAATAAATATTGGAATAACAATAGACTGAATTAAATAACACTTAAGTTGCTGCCGCTGGCGGACGCGACAGTCAAAAAAAGTATACACCACGTAATAAAACCGCTTATCAATATGATAAACCAACAAACTGTTCTAGCTATCGCAAAATTAGAAATAAATTAAGTTCATTTTTCAACTGATATTCTTATCTATCTGGGCTTTACAACGATGACGGTTTCTGGTGAACGAAGACACTGATGGAAATTTGCAAACCAGTTGACCTAGTGGCCCACTTAATGTATTCAAGAATTTGTTTATGGTGTGCATACTGCCAATTAAGCGGAATTATATAACGTCCTCCTTTGAAGCCGATTTCTACAATTATTACATATGAAATAAAGCATGCGAAGCTTTTGGGAATGTTGGGAACTAGACATGATACGAGAGTAAAGTTAACCGTGATTGAGGCGGAAATAATACTTTTTGAAAACTTCCAAAATAAAAATCCAAATAAAACCTTCAACAATCAGCAATTATAGTCGCCCCAAATTGCAAACTTACATCAAAGGGACTGTATGTAACTCACCTTTCCTATTTCAGGATCAGGAACAAAAACCAAATCAGCATTCGGTTTAAACGTGTGAATATCTTCACCGTTTTGCTCGAAATAAACCACATGATACGCCGTATTGTTCACAGCGAATTTTTGAAACTTTACAGTTAGATACATGTGATTGGAGGCTTTCTTTTCATTGGCATACGTATTTTCTAATTTTCTGAACGTTAGTCTGTCCAGCCAGTCAACCTGAATTCATTAAAAGCGATGATGATGAAAATTTTTTGCTTTAAATCCCCCATACCTTGTGAATGTGCCCGTTTCTATATCGTTCGGTTAAGTTATCCAGCTTCCACATTTCGTATGTAGACGGATCGTTTTTGTCATGTCCTTTACCGGGGGTTGTAGTAGGGGTGTGGCCATCTGCAACCACATTGGGCCAGATTCTGAGATCCAACATTCCCTAAACATGTGAATATGAATTAATCTAGTTGGGATACAATTTTTGCGGTTTTTACCTCTCTGAACATGCCATGTTTACTGAAAAGAGACACTGTGGTGCCTCCGACTGGAATCAACTTATCAGGGCCCCCACAATCGAACACCGATAAGGCTAGTTGAGCGGTTCGAGGCAAATCGCAAAACTCCAGCGGGATGTGCAACCACTCATTCCAACTGGAATGCATTTACATTCTTACAAGAGCTTTTAGAGCATTTAGAATTGGTCTTACTTCCAGCCATTAGTGAATGGCTTGTGCTCAGTCCCAACTGGTAGACAGAGCGGCTCGTTGTTATCCCATATTTGACACTCAACCATTAAATCAGAACACCCATCCCGAATTTCATTGGAAAACTTTAGATGGGGCTCTCTTAAAAGCTCCTCGTAGGTTGGTTTTAGTCTTCTACCATCCAGGCTTCCACTGGAACAGGCTTGAATTTAGAATATTTTGGAACTGCCTCGGCACGGTTTGAAGGATAACAAAATAGCAATGTTTGAAGGAGATTTAATGGAATTAGGCTCAAATTGGTAAGTTTCGAACCAAGTGGAACCAGTTGTGTAAAGTACAAAGCTTGATAATCAAACAACAGGTTGGCAGTAGCAATGCAATAATTGTGTAAATTACTAACAATAAATGGGGTTTTAGCCAGAAAAACTTACATTTTCACCTGGATTTTTGTCTCGATGTCTGAGCTGTAGATGTAATGGAACTTATCACTTAGCCTATCTGACTCGTCCATATTAAGTATAAAACCGTTTAAACGCCGTTTTAGTCTAGAAAAAGGGATAACTAATAATTCTATATTTTTTATAGCACTGTTTGTAAATACAGTCGGTAAAATGTCAGGATGTCAGTATCAAATTGACACTGTCAATTGCCATCAATGTACGTCTTGTGGCGAACTCTATCCGCCACTTCTCAAGTAGCAGCTTCAACCGAAACGCCAGCTATATCTCCCCCACTAAGATCTGCGGCGTTCCATACAAAYAGAACTTCCAATCCGTACTTACAATCACAGAACATACCCCCATACATACATAGGGGGGATATTTTGTGCTTACAATACGTATAAGCCACAGGTATAAACTTCCAATGTACTTTATCCGACGTCTAAGGCAGGGCCTACCTAAGCCAGAGACAAGTCCAWTAGTTAGGCCAGGGATGGAACGCATGGYGCTTCAACGCGCGCCATAGTCTCATCTGGAAAAAATATGGAAATGTGGCAGCGCSRGAGTAGTCTGKAATTTGAGCGTATTTTTAAAAATTGCTGTGGRAAACGATATTTTTTTATTTSGATAAATAAAAAGTTGTAGGAATTTTTCGAGCGTTTTCAATATTGAGAACAAAAGTTYATGTTGTGGACAGCAGGTAGTRAAAAAAATTCAGAGCAAACGTTTTTTACGGGAATTGGAGACTCACCGTCAAATTATGGAAAATACTGGTTATTAAAAGTAAAAAGCGCTAATTTTGTACTAACACTATTTACTGCTGTTCTTCGATACACCCAAATATTCAATAATTCTCCGTTTATCGCACCCTGAAATCCAGATATTCCTAAATCCAACGCATTGACACAATCGAAGCCTGTTAATTAGCAGTAAGCATTATCCTGGAATGCTATGGCAAGTTCATGTGTACCTAATGTAGTCTATCATGTCGATTATCGCTTGCTTTCGCCTTGGAAAATGAAAAATTTCAATAAATAATTGCGCTCAAGACTGTATGATGCGCATTATAGGCAGGTATCTCACAAAGGGAGAATTATTGTGTTTATTTACAACAAAGCTTTATGGGCACTAACAATAACCGAGTTTGTGCCAGATTATGGTATTTACGATCATTCTGGATAACCAGATTCTGGAAATTTTCACGGCGGGGCGACGCCATCCGATTAGGGTCTCCGCATTAAATCGTTACGTGGATTTCATTGAGAACTGATTTAAGTGCCAATTTCCATTGAAAGCTGTTTATTTATGAAATTAATACAGTTGGTTTAGGAATTTTAGTTCAGCCTAAATCCGGCACCAACATAAAGCAGTTATTTTTTCATCTATAAGGTTCTTAAACCTCAGTTGCAGAACTTTGCTTCTTAAAATAAATGCCTGTTTCTTTATCAAACTTTTCAACAAATTCTACAAAGCCTGGTTCAGTTCAATGTCCTAATTGCGACATTGGATATAATGTGCGAGGCTTTTAATAGCATTCTCTACCGAAGTATATACATATAGAACTTTTTTTGTCACTAACACGGATAATTACCTAAATTGATTTAATGAGATTAGATTTCCCGTTTTATCGGTTTTCTCCAGAAAACAGATAACAGTTCTGTGAAAAATTAGTGAATCTTAAAGTTACAGTGATTTTAGAAGTGAAACTGCCTGGAATTTTACTTGAACATAATGAAAACTTAAATATATTTCATTCTTTACCTAACGACTTTCCATTATTATTATTGACCCATGGAAATAAATATGACTTCTCGCTATGAAAATAAAGTAAATAATGTTGACTTCTCAGGTAAGTAGTAATTTTGTTTATTGCGCCCTGAATTGGGCACTGATTTGGGCTTTTCTATCATTGTTTCTGTAGGACAAAAACGGGTGGTTCATTTTTTGGGAAAAAGCTCCTAAATAGTTGATTTACATTTCGTCTAACCTCGGAAAAGTCGGCTTTTCCCGATGCCGACCTCCGCCGGTCTAATCTTGCAGAAATATGGGCAGTGCGACCTACGCCATCAGACATCGGGTTGTTGCAGCTTTTCTCCGGAAAATACGCACATTTTCACGCGACTTACATTTTCCGGTCGAGTGACAAATTTTCTTTAACCGGAAAACTTGCAGTGATTGACTTCGTGATTAGTTTGGTGCAAGTGACTGTCTAAAAAGCTTAAGATATCGAATTGTGAAGTAAGTGCAGTTTCATCTAAATCATTTTTAATATAATGACTGTTTTGAATCAATTTTCCAAAGCTTGAAGAAAATGTGTCTTCAGATGACGAAAACATTTTATTTGCAAAAATTTTATTTTTAAATTTCCAATGTTCTATGTGCACGTGATAGAGTTTTCAAAAATTTTAAGAGGAATTTTAATTTTTACTTTTTTTTTCTCAATTTTCGCAATTAAAAAATTGATGTTAAAAAAATAATGTTTCGAGTTTTTCCACATCGCTTGATTGGGCGCGTTTTCTTTGCCAGCACCCAATTGCTTTGAGAACTTGGTTGATTAATTTACAAATTTTGCGCAATTCAATTTCTAATGCCACTTTCGGTTTTTTGAGTAAATTTTAGATGAAAATGAGTACCATGTCGATGGGACACTTTTTCTAAAAATATTACCTATTTCGTTGCATAGAGTATGATACTCATTTTATGCTGGAACTGGCCCAAAAATACAAATCTCGTAGCAAAATCGATTTGCAATCCTTTAAACAGAGGCAAGTGCAAATAACACTTGCCAAGTCGTTTTACGAGTTGTTTTTTTCAAATTCTCGATCTTGAAGTGTCAATTGCATTTGAATAATGTGAAACAAGACAATGAAGGCTTTTATGGATTGAATTGCATGGATTTTTGTCAAGAAAATTCGGAGCGAAATTTGAGAAACAACCCGTAAATTATAGAACTTTTTTTGAAAAATAAATCGTAAAATTGCAATCGAAATTAATTTTAATCCCTATTTTTTGTAATTAAAAAATCAAAAAAACACATGTTTTAATGAAAAATCGTCTTCCAAGCGCATTGGCACAAGAAAACCTTTTTCACATACATAAAACTTACACGGGAATTTTTCGGGCTTGTAGGTGAAAAAACGTCTTCCTAACGTTTCGGCAAGCACGACTTCCACCTTCAAAGGTGGCCTAAAAGTCGAAAAAACTAGCTAGTTTCAAGCGGGACTAATACAGTACGCATTCTATTTAGTTGCGAGATTAATTGTCGGCAATATTCTTCAATTTATTTAGTTGCTGCCGATCCATTTTTGTTATTTTTTACTGCATTTGATTAATCGTCAATTTTATTTTGTGCAATATTTTTTGGTTCTAGAGGGGAGATAGCAAAAGACTTTGATTAATTTAAAAAAATATTTCCTGTGATCTTGTCTGGCCGTTTTGGCCGTAATTTGCTTTATTGCTTCATTCACCCGTTACATAGTTCGATTTTTATCTCTTTATTCAGTGAAAATTTCCATATTTAAAGTTAGTTAGTTATTAACCCATCAATTGGTTTATATTGCACCGGATTTATAGAAAATTGGGGCCCGAGCGATAAAATTTATATTTTATGCGATCTGGTGTGTTTATTGCCGTTAAATTTTCGGCCCAATTTTCATTAGTACTAAATTTGTTTTGCCAAGTGATTAGTTGCCACTTTTTGATCTTTCTTACTTTCTTGCTGCTCTTCCTGCCTCACCTTGACGGTTTCCAAACATTTCAGCCCAGGGAAAACAAATTTAAACCGAAAATCAATCAAAATTTCGACACGAAACAAAACAATTTAACGGGGAAAAGTGTTTGTTATTTACACCTATCCAGGTGACCGTTTGGGACCGATGAATTGCCAGGCTTGGACTATTAATTTCGCGCATTTATTTAAATGGATATGGATAATCGGTTATTTGCTATTGACATATGCATTTTCGAACGACCATCGCGGTGACAAAGGCACGTTTTATTAATCGATCTGCGGCAAAAACAAGAAAGGAAAATGCATGCGCCTTCGAAGAACCGCTCATGAGTGCAGGAAAAATAAGAAAATCTGATCCAGACAAACGGTCTTTTTCTTTGTCAGGGCTTGACTAATAGTTGGTCGACGGTTTTAAGCTTTTCTGTATTCTAAACGTTCTGTTGCCGAGCCGAATATCCACACCAGAAGATTTTGTCGCATTGAAAACAAAAACGGCGATTTTTTTGAGACGACAGTAAAAAATTACCGTTAGGATTCAACGCGGGTTTTTTTAAAGGGATTGAAAAAATGTGTCATACTCTCATCAAGCCTCTGTTCAAATGAGGATATTCACATATTCATCGCAAAGTAATAAAATGTCATGTTGCTTTATAGCGCAAGGGAAACACGCAAAATAGTGTAGAAGTCGACGTGCGCCATTTGATTCTGAGCGTTTGATAGAAGTAATTTATATGTAAATATGAAGAAAAGATAATGCATACAGTGTGTTAATAAAGGCATTATAGCATGGCGTGTTCATCTTTCATACTGTCATGATTGCCGCGTCTAAAATACACCAAAGTATATATTATAAAACACTAACTAGTTTATTAATCACTGATTAGCATATTAAACATTGTGTTAACTGGGCGAAAATGAGTAATGAGCTGTAAGCGTCCGCGCCTGTATTCGATTCAACACATTCCATCAGTTGGACTTTACAGACTTTTACATTTATAATTTTTCCATTACATTAGGTATGTCGTTTTATATTCTTCGCGTCTATGCCATGCCTCATAATTTCCTTATCCTGCCCTTAATTTTCAGATTACCCTCATAAAACTTTTAATACTCGACGCTCATAATTATTCATTAATTCATCAAGACCATTCTGCACGGAAATAAAATATTTTTTACATTAGGCCATAAAACCTTTTTGTCCTTTTCCTGAGAACCGAATCGAGCCAAGCAAAGCGTCGCTCCTTCTTTCAAGTGCACGAAATTATTTCCTCGAATAATGTTTATGATCAGTGAGTTTGATGGTGTTTTATTGCGATTTTTACGATTTTCCTGCGTTTTATCGGTGTTAGGTAGAAGTTGTCATAGTCACATACTTATTATGGACACAGGTGGGAAAGAGTTTGCATAATTTTAGAGAAAGCGTCGAAGCGGAAATTTGATGCATTTTTTTATTTCAATTTTATACTTTATTTGTTGTTCATAATTTTCTTATTTTTAAAGAAGCAAAAGAGGCTTTGCGGTCACTGCTTGAAACTGGTAAGTTTTTCGAGATGTTAGATTTTTTTCTGACGTTTTGCAAGCTCGAGTTAGAAAGCGCAAGTTTTTCGAGCTTTCCC